ATAGTTTCGGAAAGAAAATCAAAATAAAAATAAATAACAAATCTTATTTTTTTAACTTACCTTTTTAATTCAGTTTCTAATGTCCGATTTGAACATATAAACAAATGCTTAAATCTAAAAAGTGGTGAAACTACAGCCTAAAATAGATACGGTCTTCCACCACCATTCTTTTCGCCAGGGACTGTATTTCTTTATTTTCATCCTTTGGGCTTTCATATCCAACTGCAGTAATTAAAGGTATATTAGAAAATTGCTGAAATAGTTGTTCCTCAAACCATGGTTCTTCATTGTCTTTAGTAGAATCATATTCAGAAGAAATATGCCATTCGTTTTCTGATTCTTCAGCTTTAACAGTAGTTACCATGAAAACTTCATATATATTATCATCATATTTTCAGTCGTATTAATTTGAGAAAGAGCATCAGCATTAGCATTTAGTTTTTCAGACCTATGCTTTATTTCAAAATCATACTGTTGTAGTTTCATGATCTATCGTACTCTTCTTTCTTTAGGAATTTTTGATGTTTGTAACCATTTAAGAGCTGAATAATCAGTAATAATGATAAAAGGTTGTGAGCTTAAATAATGGTGAAAGTATTTCACAGCTCATACAACTGTAAGGCATTCTTGATCAGTTATTCCATAATTTTGCTCAGCTTTATTTATACTTCTGCTAGCATATGCTACTATACAGTCGAGTCCATTTTCTAATTTTTGAGAAAGAACAACTCCTAAACCATTTCCAAAAGCATCAGTATATAAAATAAATGGCTTATTAAAGTTTGGATACTATAAAATAGGTGCAGTAATTAACTTTTCTTTTAAAATATCAAAAGCCTTTTGTTAAGCATCTGTTCAAGAGAATGGTTCTTCCTTTTTCAACAATTGAGTTAAAGGTTTAGCAATTTTTGAGAATCTTAAAACAAATCGTCGATAATATGAAAATAATCCTAATGCAAACCTTAAGCTTGTTAAGTCAAATGGAATGGGAAAGCTTTTAAATTTATCAATTTTTGCAGGGTCAGATTGTAATCCATTCCTTCTAACTACATGCCTCAAATACGTTATATTAGGTAGACAAAAGTGATACTTTTAAGCTTAATCATTAAATTCGCTTGTTTGATCGCTTAAAATACTTTTCTAAAGTGTTGGATATGATTCTCATAGGTTATTGAGTAAATAATAATGTCATCCAGATAGACAGCAATGAATTCATACAAGAATTCTTGAAGAATATAGTTCATTAACCTCTGAAAGGTTGCTGGTACATTCTTTAGTCTAAAGGGCATAACGTTGAATTCATATAGACCAAACTGAGAAATAAAAGCAGTTTTTTCCTTATCTTTTTTACTCATTTCTACCTGCCAATAGCCACTAGCAAGATCAAGTGTAGAAAACCAATTTGCTCCTCTAAATTTTTCTAATAAATCATCAATTCTCGGTAGAGAATATGCATCATTTTTAGAGATGGAATTTAATTTTCTATAATCAATGCAGATTCGTTTATCTCCAATTTTCTTTGCTACTATAACTATAAGAGAAGCCCAGGGGCTTAATAACTTTCTGATAATTTCATTTTCTTCCATACGCTTAATTTCATTTTTGAGAAAATTAAGTTTTGCTGGTTCCTTACACTTATAAGCTTCTGTAGTAACTGGGTTATGATTATTGGTTAAAATATTATGTTTTACCAAACTAGTTCATCCAATTTTTGTTTAGCTTAGAACACATATATCTTTATAGTCATCAATTAATTTTTGAAAGGACATTTGTAGTTTGTCATCGAGAGGTCCAACTTGAAGATCATCTTTAATTTTCCAAATACATTTTTTGAAAGTTTTAGCAAGAAATACTGCTGGGTTAGATTCAAATTCTTCTTTAAATGCAAGAGTTAAATAGACAGAGTTTTCTTTACTCCATGGATTATAGTCAAGCAGTAGAAGGTTAGCTTCCTTCTCATTTTTTTTGACTATCTGCCATATAAACTTTAATTTCGCTGAGTTCTTCTTCCTCATAATCATCTAAAACTTATTCTAATTTGTCATCTTGTTGATCTTAAGTAGTAAGATAACTAACAGGGGCTTTACTTGTACTAGAAGTTACAGGTACTATAATTGTTTTCGCTAAATATCTTAGCCTAATTTGATTAGTTCTAAAATCAAGGCTAGTATGAGTTTTTCTAAACCAATCTGTTCCTAGAAGTAAAGTTTCATCTTGAGAGTCGATGACTTGTAAAGAAATAGGAATTAATAGATTTTGAATAGCAATTTAAGCTCTTTTAACCTGTCCTAATACTTTAGTTCTTTCTCCATTAGCAGTAACTATAACAGTATTAGACTGTTTATCAATAGATAATCCTACTTTTTTCATTAATTTTCTGGTGATAATGCTAATAGCAGCTCCAGAATCTAAGATAGCAACTACAGGGTTTCCTTTAATTCTGATATAACAACAAACAGCTATAGATTTGTCTTCCTTTTCTTCTTTGCTTTCTTGATTAGCATAATTTGTTTCTTGAATTTTTGGTCTCCTCAATCCTTGAGCAAGATTTCGTCTTTGATTTAGATATTGTAAAAGTTGACCAATTTTTGCAGAAGATGGCATTTGCAATAAATCTTACATAACATTGTAGGAAGGCATCTGATCAATTTGGGATGATCCTCATTTAACTTTCTTTTTTGGAGTAGGGGTAGTAATTTGTGGGGTTTCTACTTCTATAAATTCATCGATAGGTTTTCTGCTTCTCAAGTTTAATTCTCTTCTAGATTCAGATTGTCTTTTTCTTTTTTCTTCTAATTGTCAAGCAGTTTTTCTGTTAGTGGTATATGGTTTATTTCGTGGAAGAGCATAAACTTCTTCCTCTGCTACTTTTTCAAATTCTTCTTCTTCACTATCAGTAAAGACTCCAACATAATTTGCTTCTTTTTTATCAGATTTTCTTTGATATACTGGTTTTTCAGACATGCATTTCTTGGAATAATATCCTTTTTCTTGATAACGATAACAAATAACATCCTTTTTATCCCAAGTTTTTGTATCCCAAACTTTTGTAATATTTCTGTCATCTTTTGGCTTTCTTCTTTCAGGTTTTCCTTCAATCTATGCAGATAATGCATTGGAGAGAGTTGTATAATTTAAAGATAATTGCTCCATTTGTTTGGTAAGGTTATCAATAGCATTATTGCTTCTGCTTGGTTAAGTTAATACAGGAGATTGCTGTTCATAATATTGACCACTCTCGATTTGTTTAGCTACGTCAATAGCTTCATCTATATTTTTAGGATGAGTAAATGCTACAAGGAAGACGATATTCTTTCTTAATCCATTAAGAAAAAGTTTTACAATATATTTATCTAGTAAGGCTTTAGTAGAGTCGACTTTCTTTAACAATCTTTTAAATTTTTCTGCATAATAATCTACTTTTTCATAGAGTTCTTGACAAAGTGTATTCAACTGATGGTGCCATAGATTTTGCTTTTCTTCAGTTGAGAATTTTCTAAAAACAATGGAATAAAACTTGATGCAACATAGCCATCTGCATTTCATCTAGTAATGGTATCAACATTTTCTTCAAACCAGTATGCAGCTATCCCATGTAGGTATCCTGATACAATTTTTAGCATACGAGCTTTAGACTAATTATTTGCTTCAGTAGCAATTTCAAAACTTATTAATATTAATTTAATTTAAATTATTTATTTAAAAAAAATAAATTTAAATTATAAATTTACCTTATTTTGAATAGAATAATTTTTTAATAATAATACAAATACTTCTTTAATATTTTCTCCACTATGTGATTC